CCAAATTACCTACCCAGGCTCTCCACTCTGCTGGCAAGCCTTCCCCTTCCCTGAGAGGCTACAAAATTCCTGGTCAATATTTAAGGCTTAGCTCATTTAGGTGATAGCACAGTGGTTAAGAGTGCCAGACCTAGAGCTAGACTGCCTGAGTCTGAAACCAGCTCATACTAGCTGTTATAACCTTGGGCAATTTATTTAATTTCTCTGAACCTCAGTTCTCCTTTCCAAACTAGAATAGTAGCAGCTACTTAACAGGGATTTGAGAATTGAGTTAATATATGGAAAGTACCTGGCCCACAGTAAATGCTACATAGGTATGTAGCTATCATTGTCTTCACTACTTCACCTTCTCCCAAAGGCAAACACTCCCTCCTTTGTACTCCCATGGCACTTTATCTGTCACCATACTGTGATGGTTTTAGGGCAGGAACTTTCCATTTTTCCTTTGCCAACATTCATCTTCTCATCCTCTGCCAACATAATCAATGTCACATTTTTATCTAAAATAACTATCAATAAATTTGGAATATGCTCAAACTAAATGCTGTGTAGGTACAAAGGAAAATGCAAACATCTGGCCAAGTCTTCAAAAATAAATCAAATTTCAAGTGGAAAAAAAAAAGGTGAGGAAAAAAAGCACTCTACCACATTAATAAGCATGCATAAAACAGACATTAAAGTGCCTGGGCAATGACAAGCAGACCAGAATGTGTCTAGCAGGAAAGATATACTGAGAAATGAAGCCAGCCTGAAAGTGTCATGAACGGTGTTTAACGCTAGCCCAAGGAGTTTGAACCTTACTGCAAGACGAACTGGGTCCAAGAAAATACTTTTGACTAGTGTCGTTATATGATTTAGTCATTTAAAGTTAGGTAACTTTAAATAATGTGAAGCCTGGATTGGAAGGCAGACAGAAAGGAGACACGGACCAATGACGGCATTGCTACAATCCAGGCAAGAAATAGCAAGGACAAGTGGGGCCAGACAAATAGAGATAGGATAAGCAACATTTTTGAGATGAAATTAACTGGCCTCAGGGACGTCTGGGTCGGGTAAGTGTCTGCCCCCTGCTCAGTTCATGATCCCAAGGTCCTGGGATTAAGTCCCTCATTAGGCTCTTTGCTCGGTGGGGAGCCTGCTTCTCTCTCTGCCTTCCACTCCCTCTGCTTGTGCTCTTTCTCTCTGACAAATAAATAAAACCTTTAAAAAAAAAATTAACTGGCCTCAGTGACTATTCTGATATGGAGATGAAGGACAATTCAGAGGTTTCTTGCTTGCATGACTGGAAAATGATAACATGACAAAGATAAGGAACAGAGAGGGAGGAGCAAGGTTAGGAGTCCAGGAGAGGTGTAGTTACTCCACCTGAAGTAATTTTGAAAACAATAAACATATTATTTATAATTAAAATCAAATGCTAAGAGAATTATGCCAACACACTGGCACCCACGGCTCTTATTTAACAAGCACATCAGAGCAAAATGTGTCCAGTTCAAAGGGCGCATTTGTTTACTAAATAATATGTTACTGTCCTTCATTTTGGGGAAAAAAAAGCCTATTATGTAGAGGTATGGCTGAAGAGTAGCCAGTAATTTTCAATATTGTGTATTTCTTAAAGCCTGCTTTTTAAGTTTTTCACAAAACAATATTTTTTTAAGGCTATAAGATTCTCTTCTGTTCCAAAAATCATGATGAAAATTTAAGGCTGCTTAAGAATGTATTTAAAAATATAGACTTTAATTTTGCTTACTTGCTGCTCTGTATGAAATGCTTACAATTATTTTTGAATCTGTGATTTATATAAAAATTCCTATTGATACATGCACTTCCTGCTTTTTCTCTCTCAAGAAAAAGGCTGAACAAGGGGCACCTGGGTGGCTCAGTTGGTTAAGCGACTGCCTTCAGCTCAGGTCATGATCCTGGAGTTCCCAGGATCGAGTCCCGCATCGGGCTCCCTGCTCAGCAGGGAGTCTGCTTCTCCCTCTGACCCTCCCCCGTCTCATGCTCTCTCTCTATCTCATTCTCTCTCTCAAATAAATAAATAAAATCTTTAAAAAAAAAAAGAAAGAAAAAGGCTGAACAAGATAACCTAAACTAAAAGTACAATGTCTAAAAGTTCTAATTATGGCAGTCTATTTCAGAACAAACACAATATAAGGAAATTTAAACAGGCCAGATATTTCTGTTCCTGAAATGATGGACAGCAGGGTAACTGTGCAGCTGTAATCAAACTTCAGTGCACAACAGAATCTTCTTGGGTGCTTGCTGAAATAGTAGTGTAGGGCAATTACACTGGATTTAAAAAAAGAAGAAGAAAAAAAGTATTAAAAAAAGTAGTTATCAGTCCTTCTCCCTACTTCAGGAGAATCTGATTTCCTAGGGCATGACCCAGAAACTTTTGTTTTCCAAACACCACAGGTGATTCTGAAGCAAATGTTTCAGGGCCACTTTGAGAAATATGGGTACTGGCTCTGATATCAGAACCATGGTTTAGTTTAAAGTCCACTTCTCAGGGGCGTCTGGGTGGCTCAGTCGGTATAGCATCTGTCTTCAGCTCAGGTCATGATCCCAGGGTCCTGGGATCCAGCCCCACATGGGGCTCCCTGCTCAGCGGGGAGCCTGCTTCTTCCTCTTCTCCCTGCCTGTGCTCTCTCTCGCTACCTCTGTCTCTTTCTTTCAAATAAATAAAAAAATCTTAAAAAAAAAGTCCACTTCTCCCACTCATTGGTTGTATGACCTTACACCGCTTACTCAGTTTCTCCAAGGTACAGATTTTTTTTTTTTAAAGATTTTATTTATTTATTTGACAGAGAGAAATAGCGAGAGCAGGAACACAAGCAGGGGGAGTGGGAGAGGGAGAAGCAGGCTTCCCACCGAGCAGGGAGCCCGATGCGGGGCTCGATCCCAGGACCCTGGGATCATGACCTGAGCCGAAGGCAGATGCTTAATGACTGAGCCATCCGGGCGTCCTCCAAGGTTCAGATTTCTAACCTGTAAAAGGTGAATACTAAAAGTTTCACAAGGATAATGAGAGAATATAATGAAACAATGCTTATACAGTACTTAACACAGTGCCCACCTATAATTATTACTATAATTCACCCAGTTCCACAGGACAAAAAGTAAGGAAGAACTGGACATATATACATATTCACTATGACAGTCTAAATGCTTTGTAAAAAAAATTCATGGTAATGTTTTTTCCATTTTCTCCTGGTCAGGCATGCTCTTTGTCTCCCTTTCCCTTTAATTTTGTAATACATGAAAAAAGTTTTTGGACACATTACATAAGTGCTTTGAGTTTCATAAACAAATCTTACCAAAGGCATAAAGCAATGAATGCAAATATTAACCAGAAAATACTCTGCTTTTCATATCAAAATAAATACTCAAAAAATTAATACTTTTACTGAACATTATTCAGATTTTACAGGAGGGCAAATCCTGTTTGCAAATCCTGTTTGCTTTTTCTGGTAGACCACAAAAATTAGAGACAAAGTTATCTAAATAAAGAGTGCCAACTGCTTTATATTTAGAAAAATCAGTTTAATTATACTATTATCAATTCCTCTCCTTTCATTACACAACTCTACTGGCTTCCCTATTTTAAAATCCAAACGTAATTTTTTTTTTTTAAGATTTTATTTATTTGAGAGAGAGAGAGAGTGCGATCACAAGCAGGGGAGGCAGAGGGAGAAGCAGGCTCCCAGCTGAGCAGGGAGCCCAACGCGGGGCTCGATCCCAGGATGCTGCAATCATGACCCAAGCCGAAGGCAGATGCCCAACCGACTGAGCCACCCAGGCGCCCCCCAAAATGTAATTTTTAAGTGGCCATCTAACGCTACTACGGTCTTACCCCAGAAGATACAGATACACACCTACACAGTTTTTAAAAACTCATTAGAAACTAAACTTTTTAGAAATAACCAGAAATCCTGTATGCTTTCACACTAACTAGAAATTCTAAATGATGCTTTTGTGTAAACTGAGAAATTTATAAAAGTATGCAGCCCCCTCTGTATCCTTCTTACCATTTGAAAACTTTATAAAGCTCATCAGTTAATACTAACTACCTCATCTTTTATTTAAAAAACAGTTAATATCCCACAACAATATTTGGCACTAACTGATGTGTCTCTCATATTATCCAACATGAATAAGTAAAGGTAAAATGGAAAACTGAAGTGCAGGCTGTTAAATGTGATGGACCCAAGGAACCTTGCTGAGCTGCAATCATCACATATCAATATTTTTCAAGGGCTCACTTGTACAAGGCACTATACAGATTACCCCCCTTCGGCCAAGGCAAACAGAGGGAGAGGGGGGAGAGTGGGAGGGAGGAATCGGAGCCTGGAGGCCCTTTCTTAAGTGGCAGGCAACTGGCCTCAAAGCATCACCAAGGGAACTCCGCAAAAGATGTATTTTTTGGACATTAAGAAACGTGAAGGTATCGTGAGCTTCCAGCACTTTGCAAAATCTGGTAGGATACTGGATACGAGTTAAGGTTCGGCAACTGTAAAATTCCTTGCAAAGGGGCAATTTAGAAAAAGCTTGTACTATGTCTGTTTTAGAAGGTTAGAAGAGTGGGCGGCAGCGGGTTTGAGGTCCACAACGGGAGAAAACTGAGGGTGCCGCCACAAAGGTCGCAGAATGTGTTTTCATAGCCCCTCCAAGGGTCGGGGGGTGAAGGGTAAGGACCCAGCTCCGGCCTCCACTTCCACTTCCCACCTGCGCCCCGAGCCGGGCGGGGGAGGAGGTCCAAGGGAGGGTCCGAGGCGGGGCGGGGGACAGGAAAGCGGCCGTGGGTCCCCGGGAAATCAGAACGGAGCGGCCCCGCGGGAGGAACGGCTGCAAGAGGGCGGGGCGCGGTGCAGCGAGGAAACCGAAAGGAGGACGCCGGGGAGAAGGTGCCGCGCGACAGGGGACCCTTCCTGGTACCACACCCAGGGGCCAAGGCTGGGGCGGAAGGGTCCCGGGAGCGAGAAAGAAGCAGAACTTACTCCGCGGTCCTCCTCCGAGAGGAAGTCGGGGCCGTCGTCCAGGCCTTCCTGCGGGGTCGCCGGGCCCGGCGCACCAGGGGAGAAGATGGAGTTGGGGAGACACAAAGGGAGACATTAGTTGTAGGCCGGCGCGGCCCCCGCTCCCGCCCCGCGCCCGCCGCCCCCACCGCGCGCCCGGGGCTCGGCGCGGCTGAGAACACCCACCATCATGGCTGCTCCGAGGCCAGGGCCAGCGCAGGCGCGCACCGCACCGCGGGGCCGGAGGGAGCCGGCAGCAGCGGGAGAGGCGGGGCTGGTGGCGGCAGGAGGAGGCGGGGTCTCGGAGCAGCCTGCCCCGCCCCGCCCTGGCGCGGGGGGCCGGGGGCCGTAAGCCGTAGGAAGCAGGCAGGCAGCGCCCTCCGCCCGAGGTTGGAGCGCCCGGGTCGGAAAGGGCCCGAAGGCCCAGACCCACATGGCTGCGGGCAGGTCGCGGCTGGCCGGCCCTGACCCGGAAGGGGCCGAATGCCACCTGGGGAGCTGTCCAGTTTCCTTTCCCTGAGGGCTGCCGCGAAAAAGCCAAACAAACGCCCTCTAGAAGCCACAATGTATCGCCTAGTCTTTGTATTATGCCGCACAATAATTAAACACAATTAATATTTTGCCCATAGAAATTGTGGGAACGAAGGGCCTTCGCACGGTGAGCTGTAATCCAGCTTTTACTGTTGGTGAGGTAATAACCTCAGGGTTTAGGGCGCTAATGGTGAGGACTATAAAAATGACCTGTTCGGGCGCCTGGGTGGCTCAGTTGGTTAAGCGACTGCCTTCGGCTCAGGTCATGATCCCGGGGTCCTGGGATCGAGTCCCGCATCGGGCTCCCGGCTCGGCGGGAAGCCTGTTTCTCCCTCTCCCACTCCCCCTGCTTGTGTTCCTGCTCTCGCTGTCTCTGTCTCTGTCAAATAAATACATAAAACCTTTAAAAAAAAAAATGACCGGTTCGCGTTACAAGAGGATTCCTTTCCTTTTTATGAACAAGCGCCTCCAGACCTACTCTAACTGTCCAGCTGGACAGCACCACATGGGCGTCCACAGGCAATTCAAAAGACGGGACAAAATCATCCCTTAACCTTTGCCCCATGTCACCTGTTACGCACGCGCACAAACGCACGAACACACATGCCATCCTTGTGCTTCCAGTCACTTCATGGCATCAGCCTCTTTACATTTCTCAGACCAGAAACCTCAAAGTCCTATTCAAATCCTCCTTCTTCTCCCTCACTCATCACACCATTTAGTAACAAATTCTATTGCGTCTGTAATTGATTGTCTGTCTCATCTCTTAAATTGGAGTCCTCCCTCTCCTCCCTTCCACAGTATCTGTCTGGACCTTTGCAATACTCTCTTAACTTTTCTTATTTCCATCTCTCTCTCCTCCATTCTACCTCCTGCTGCCGGTTTTCCTCCTAAGACAGACATCGATGATAAGGCTGCTACGATAATCTTTACACATCTTTATTATATTAAGATCCAACTCCTCGGCCTAGCATTTAAGGCCCTCCCCACTAGATTCTCTCCCTATTTTGCCAGGCCCTCTGTCTTATCTTGTTGAATTGAAGCTCTCAAAACAATAATGTCAAACTATTAATCTTTTCATGAGAATTTCTTGTAGCTTTCATTTTGTATGTAGGGAGAACTGAGGCATAGAGACGTTAAGTTACTGCCCAGACAAGGGTTATTCTCCAAGTGGGTGGGGGTGGCTTTATTTTTTGTCTTTTGTTTCTTGTTTTCCAGTGCATTGTAATAACCACTGGAGTAGTGTTTTTCCCTGGGAGTCATGAGGCATCATGCGGTGTCACTGTAGTGTGATGAAGTGTCAGGAGGAATGTTCTGGTAATTTGTTGCTGATGAAAAGTGCCAATATTTCCCATTATTTCCTATTTTGTTTTTGGATTGAAAGTAATGCCTGTAGAGCTCTGCTTCCTAGATGGAGAGAGGAGTGAAGCTACAATTAATGAGCAGGATTTGCATACAACTGATAGGAGGGGAAGTGTGTCCTATGGACAAAGGTTGAGAAGTGCCACCTAGGACCACCTAAATGTCTCTGATCATTAACCAAGGGTTTCAACATTTAAGCCAAGTCCGGAAACATTGTACAGAAACACTCAAATTATCAAACGTCAAAACTTAGAAATCACTAGTTAAAAACAAGTTTTAAAATATGAGTAGCCAAATAAAATTATCAACAAAGGCATTTAGTAATTACTGCAGTTAAAATCAATGGCTGAAAACTCACATGAATAGAGAACCCAACCTTGAAATAATAAAGTTATTCATTAATACCTGAGCCTGTCTATCTGGGTAAAGGTCTCAAACTATATTTTGTAAATGATAAGAAGGAATTATCAGTAACGGATACTAACAACTATTAAAAAGGCAGTTTCAGATTTAAGGAATATCAAAGGAAAAGAAATTAAAACAAGCTCACACAACAGATTTTTCTGCTACTTATAAGATAAATCAAGAAGATATTAAAACTGAACCACTTCTCTAGTACTTTTTTTTTTTAAGATTTATTTATTTTAGAGAGAGAGACACACACATAAGTGGGAGGGGCAGAGGAAGAGAAAATCCCAAGAAAGCTCCACACCAAGCATGGAGCCTGACATGGGGTTTGATCCGAGGACCCTGAGATCATGACCTGAGCTGAAACCAAGAGTCAGATGCTTAACCGACTGTGCCACCCAGAAGCCCCTTCCCTAGTACCTTTAAGAAATTGCCTACTTCTGTATAAATTTCATGAGCAAATTGTGTTGAATCACAATCTGATTATTTCATAGATTTAGCTACATGAAAATAAAATACTACAATTGGGAGTAGATACCCAATAGTGTGCTTCAGAAACAAATGTATTGGAAAATTTTAGAGAAAAGTTAACATTTAGAGAATAATAAATAAGTCACTTTTAAGTTTTGAAATCAAAAAATGTGTTTGCTTTGAACATTTTTATCAAACAAAAGCCAAGTTTTTTTTCTAGAAGAAAAAATTAAAAAATATGAAATGGTGATATTTAGTTAGATTTAGAAGAAAACTGTTTAATTCCTTTTATCATGTTCTGATCAAAGAAGGTTTCACCAAAATGTATTTTTACCAAATCCTCAGTTCCTCAAATTCTAGATCATTTTTTGTTTTGGACAACCTTTGGGTCCTAATTCTTCCCTCCTCCCTGGGAGTTATGTTACAACAAAATTCTCTACAGGAAGATAGCTGAACTCTGTTTTTTCCAATTATGTCAATCAGGATGTGTTTACCTGTATGTAGCAGAAAACATCAATTTGAATAAACTGAGCAGTATAGAAATTTATGCTCTCACAACAAAAAATCTAAAAATAAGGAGGGCACCTGGGTGGCTCAGTTGGTTAAGCAACTGCCTTCAGCTCAGGTCATGATCCTGGAGTCCCGGGATCGAGTCCCGCATCGGGCTCCCTGCTCAGCGAGGAGCCTGCTTCTCCCTCTGACCCTCCCCCCTTTCATGTACTCTCTCTCATTCTTGCTCTCTCAAATAAATAAATAAATCTTTAAAAAAAAATCTAGAAATAAGGAGTCTCTAGGCATAGTATAGATCTTCCTCACTTTATGATGGTGTTACAGCCTGATAAACCCATCATAATTGAATGTCATAATTGTCATTATGAATTTCATTATGAATGTCAAACCCATGTCATAATTGAAAATGCATTTAATACACTTAACTTATTTAACATCATAGCTTAGCCTGGCCCACCTTAAACATGCTCAGAACACTTATATTAGCCTACGGTTGGGCAAAATCATCTAGCACAAAGCCTATTGTACAGTAAGTGTTGAATATCTCATGTATTCATTGAATTCGGTACTGAAAGTGAAAAACAGAATGGTTGCATGGGTACAGAATGGTTGTAAGTGTATTGGTTGTTTACCTTTGTGATTGCATGGCCAACTGGGAGCTGTGGTTCATTGCCAATGTCTAGCAATAGTAGCTCTGGCAAAATGAATCACTTATAATCCAGCACTTGGAGATAATCACTGTTCATATTTTGGTAAATAAGCCTTTAAATGTTTTCCCATGCATATGCCTCATCTAGTATTTTTTATTTTTTATATTTTATTTATTTATTTATTTAAAGAGAGAGAGATTGAGTGTGCATGAATGGGGAGCAGGTACAGAGGCAGAGAGAGAGAATCTCAAGCAGACCATGCTGAGCAAGGAGCCCAACTCGGGGCTTGATCTCACAACCCTGAGATCATGACCTGAGCCCAAATCAAGAGTTGGACCCTTAACCTACTGACTCATCCAGGTGCCCCCCCTCATCTACTATTTTTTTTAAAGACTTATTTATTTATTTGAGAGAGAGAGAGAACGCGGTGGGGAGGGTCAGAGGGAGAGGGAGAGAGGATCTCAGGCAGACTCGGCACTGAGTGCAGAGCCAGACGCAGGGCTCAATCCCAGGACCCCGAGGTCACAACCCGAGCAAAAACCAAGAGTCGGATACTCAACTGACTGTGCCACCCAAGTGCCCCCTCATCTAGTATTTTTATTGATATAATCAAGATCATGTTTTATATTACATCATATTATTAGATATATTTCTATTCTTCAGCATTAATTTTAATAACTGTATAATATTCTATCAGCTAGATGTATCAATGCATTTAACCAAACCCCATTGTTTGAAATTGACATTGTTTGTATTTTGGTTTGTTACTTGAAAACAAAAAAGTATAAAACACATCGTTTTTTTTTAATTTCTTTTTTTTAACATTTAAAAAATTTAAATTCTTTTAATTAACATATAATGTATTATTGGTTTCCGAGATACAGGCCTGTGATTCATCAGTCTTATATAATACCCAGTGTTCATTACATCACATGCCCTCCTTAATGTCCATCACCCAGTTACCCCATCCCTGCATCCCCCTCCCCTCCAGCAACCCTCAGTTGTTTCCTATGATTAATAGTCTCTTATTGTTTGTCTCCCTCTTTGGTTTCGTATTGTTTCATTTTTTTCCTCTCATCCCCTATGATCCTCTGTTTTGTTTCTTAAAAAAACATATATCAGTGAGATCATATGATAATTGTCTTTCTCTGATTGACTTATTTCACTTAGCATAATACCCTCTAGTTCCATCCAAGTCGTTGCAAATGGCAAGATTTCATTTTTTGATGGTTAATATTCCATTGTATATATGTATACCACTTCTTCTTTATCCATTCATCTGTCGATGGAGATCTGGGCTCTTTCCATAGTTTGGCTATTGTGGACATTGCTGCTATAAACATTGGGGTGCAGGTGCCTCTTCGGATCACTACATTTGTATCTTTGGGGTAAATACCCAGTAGTGCAATTGCTGGGTTGTAGGGTAGCTCTATTTTCAACTTTTTGAGGAACCTCCATACTGTTTTCCAGAATGGCTGCACCAGTTTGCATTCCCATCAACAGTGTAGGAGGGTTCCCCTT